TTCCTCAAAACTTTCTGACCACAAATGTCCAATGAATCATTAGTTTACCGCAGCACTGTTGATGTCTCTTCAAAAACATGTGTTTGATAAATATTGTGTGCAGCTACAATTTAAGCCAAGTCCACACATAAAAATTGCACACAGCTCATTCTAACACAAAATTAGTGTGTCAAAATTATATCGCATTAAAAACTAGGTAGACATGCTACCAATATTATGTTTAAGAGAAAAATGCTCACCATTGAATGCTACACAAAATTTATTTTAAAGCTTTTTGATACAAACATTTTAGTGCAAAATCTTAATTTAAAAACACTTTTGTATTCTCCTAGTAAAAAAGACCAAATTGTGATATTCTAAATTTTACACTTGGTTGAACATCAAAACTGTCTTTTATTGTTGAGTGATACTAAATCGGGTGAATTTCAATTTTAAAATTTTAACCGATTGAAAAGAGTTTGCCAACATTTTTAAATTTAGCAAGATAAAGTATAATAAGAAAGTTCACTATACAAAACTTTTTTAAATTGACCTACAATGATTTGCTGGTTTAGGGTCAAGATCACTGACCCAATACTGATATGCTATCACAGGTGAACATCTAAAAAATACGTAATCTCAGCTCTACTAAATGTTTTTTAAAGTAAAAAGAATTGAAATTGCACTTGACAGGTGCATGACAATGAAAAAAAGAAGGCTCAGCCGATGTGTGGAATCTCATTAACTAAAATGTCCCCGGCACGTGTTAAACGGTGATGTATTGTTTGCTCAATAACTTTTCACTTTCAAGAAGACAACCACTTGCCTTCGAGTTTAATGTGTTGGCGATTTTTGTTTGTCTTGATGCTGAAAAGAATAGTGAACAATGACAGTGTTAGGGCAGTGTTCACAGAAGAAAAACAAAGTGTCATTCACTGTCAACTATCATTATCAATCTTAACTCTCCTTCACCAGAATGACCTTTTGATATTCAAGTTTTCTGTTGTTTTGATGCTTTTAAAAAGTGCAACTGACAAAAGTACGATAACAAGGTCCAGCAGTTAATTACAATTTTTAACAAGAAAAGGAAGACAGTAGTGATTATTAATTTTTTACATTTTTGTGTGTTGCGCTTCTTTTTAAAGATAATGTTCTTCAATTGGAACAGCAGTATGTCTGTCAATGCGACTGCCATAAGAAAACACAAGATATCTAAATCAGATTGATTTAAATATAGATACTGTCAATGCTAGTATCTAAAAAGAGACTACGATGTAGACTAAAATAGATGTTTCCAAATAGAAATCGATAGCTGCATGCCATTGACATTGAATTGAGACATTAGTAGTACAACAAATGTTTTCTAACGAAATTCGCATGTACATGTATCGTTGCATCTATAATTAACGAGTTTATGCTGATTAAAGTCATTATAGCCATTGCATGTTTAGACTTCTTTGGATTCATTTTTAGTTGCGCATTACTTCTTTCTGCTACATTTAATAAAAGGGTGCAGTAAAAACAAAACCACAAATATAATCAACTGCTTTGCTTGTGCGTGCTGATTTTAAAGTTGCTAAAAAGATTGAATAACACGTGCAATAATGTAACTCAATGTGAGATGCATGAAGAGCAATTGAAGCAGTCCGCAAAAATGGAGTGCTAAAATTGTCCTGAGCTAGTATCAATCATTGGTTTAGCTAAGCATATTTTTTGTTTATAGATTAGTGATTGACTTTTACTAATGACTGACCAAATTGAATTGCTAATTAGATTTTTGCACCAAAAAAATATCTTGCACTTTAGTTAGTACAGATAGTCGCCCCAAAATCAATTGATAACGATCAATTTTTTCATTAAAAATAAAAATGTAACGTAAAAATTATTTTAGTTTTTAAATTTAATTAATCTAACCAAAATTATTGATCAAAAACTACAGTGTGTGACAAAATTGGTCAATAATAAAATGACATTTTACAACAAAAATTGCAGAAAATTGCTTAAAAATCAATGTAGTAAAAATGGAAATTTAAATTCCCCCATAATATCAGCAAAACATGAGAGCAGTCAATTCGTATTTGGCCTTTGAAACAAAGCTGCCTATTTAGGGGCAAAGTGCAATAATCGGCGTTAAACCTTCTCAGTGGCGGTGCATATCTCTGCAAGTGGTCAGTACGTGTGCCCTGGCAGTGTCCATTGCACTGTGTGATATATTTGCACTAATTGCATTGCCGCCAACTAGAGCATAACTTCATTATGTATTAATGCAGTGAAAGAGACAGAGAAACGCATTGCAAAGTTGCAACCGTACAAGTTCCTATTGTTGTTGTTTTGGAACTCTTATTTTGCTCACCTCCAGAAGCGAGCCTTTTCCGTGCTCACCCTTTCAACCAAAAAACTGTTCATTTTTTTATATAGACACTATATTTTCTATTTATCATATTCTCTAGTCATTAATCTTTATCTTTATTAATTACGTGTAATATGGACCCCAACACATTTCAACTGTTTTGAATTTTGCGACTGCAAAATGAATTCAGGTCTATTATTCATTTAACTGTGCGACTATTTAAAAAAAATAATTTAAACTTAGTTTTGTGTTTTAAACATGATTCAAAAATTTTTAATTAGCTCAATGTAGTCAGAACTTGAAAAATCTGGTTTACAACAAGTGAGCCCCGAGACTACTGTAAATTAATCTTTGGCTTTACATTGACCATTGCTTTAGTGCTTACCAATATGTGAAGCAATAAAAAAAGGAAATGTAGGTAACAGTGCAGTCGTACCGTTGCTTACCGCTGACATGTGTGCTAATTTCATTAATGCTAATTATTATGATTAGCAAAAATACGTCGCGATGATGTCATTGAGCTGTAATTAGAATTAGTCACACAGAAAAAATTAACAAAATGACGTAACGGAAGGGGAATATTCATTGTGAATGAAAACTTGCACTTTCAATGATTCATGTTTAACATATGTATTTTTTACAAAATAATCATATTTACTTTACCGCAAATAATTTATTTTTAAAAATCATTTAAACAAGACTAAACAAAAAAATCAATAAACAATCTTTATAAATTCTGCATTGCATTTATCGCATTACAGTAATGAGTCTACCTCAAAGGGTTAACTATCACAAAAGTTGGTACTTTAATTTACCTGACTTTCTGGGCTTGATTATCAACTAATGCAGTGAATGTGGAAGCGTGATCGATGTCACTGGAGACGGTAGTAGAAAACTCTTAACGACTAATTTGATTTTTGCACAAAAATTGCCACCGAATATGATTGCCCTCTAAAACAAAATTACTTTCCATTGCCGTTACAATGGGCCATTTGTCAGGTAGAAACAATCTGTCTAAATTATGCTTCTCCCACTGACAATTTAGCCTATATCTGTCATCTGCAAAATTTTTAATGTGAAAGTGTCCACTGCAAATGCTCATATCAAATATATCATCTTTTTAGTTGAAGCTAATGTAAAAATATAATGACAAAAAGCTTTTCAAATCATTCACAGCATTCAGTGAACAGCCAATAGTCTTGCAACAAAAAGGAAAATAACAACAGACTCAAATGTTTATCGTAGATAGGACAATTAAAATAGCCTTATGGTTTAGAACTGTTTTTACCAATAATAAAAATATGTTTGAATGCGTATCGATATACATCAAATTGTGCAAACAGCGTGTTCCCCCTATAAGCTATTGTATTTGAACAAATTGGTGTCAATCGGTTTTAAACTTAAAGCTTTTCAGTTTATTTGTAGCAAAAAAATCAAGTAGAAATGTCAATAATTGTTCAATTATTTAGAGTTGACTCAACTTGCAATGCCCTATTTGAGCAATTGACAAAAATACGGCAATGACAACAAAAAACAAAATTGGCTACATTACTTTTTATTGTGTTTATTAGCAAAAAAATGAGTTTATATGTGGACGATAATGCCTACTCGTTATGATTTATTTGAAAATGTTGTAAAGAAGACACCAAACTCCCTATAAAATAGGTTAAGTACAAAAAAGTTTATTTTTTAAATTAACGAAATTAAATTTCTGAAAACAGATTTAACTGAAACTTTACTTTATGTAACATGAATATTTTATAATTTCTAACCGATTAAACATGGAGATTGGGCGTAATCAAATTTCTTTATTGCCACTATTGGAGAAGCTATGGTACTGCAAAAGTAAAAGTGGCTAAAGTAGGTAATGCAATAAAGAACCTGGTTGTACGGTAATTTATTCTCCAATACTTCTCAAGCCAAAATTCCTGTAATCCCTCTCTTGTGACTATAGCATGACGCTGGTGTTGAATATAAATTATCCGAATATAGCACGGCTGCAAAAAAGAGACAGAGAACAGCCACTAGTGTTATCTTTGTAATAATATTACATACCCCACAACGAGCACTGTGCTCACCAAATTGGGGTTAATTTTGGATATGCTTGAGCAAAACAAATAGTCTAGCAGAGACATTTTTAGGCTCGCAGACACTTTTGCAGGCAGATACTTTCTGTGGGTTCCCTTTCAATCAAGTAATCTAATTACCATCAGACACTGGCTACAGGAAGGGCACTTTTACGAGGAATTTGTAATTAATTGAACCACTCCTGTCGTGTACTCCCCAGAAGAGACTTTCACTGTACTGTACCCCTTGTGATGAAGTACGGAGCAATGGCCCGCCTGGCTGACCAGACAATAAACTGAAGCCTACCTTCAGTTACTATGGCGCTGGGAGGACAGTGTCGAGACCCTCTCTAGATTTAGGGAAATGGGTCAATTGAAAATTAGCATTTCTATGAAACACCGGTACTATTGGTAATTAAGCAACGCAAGTGTGAGAATTAGGAAAATTAAATAATTGATTGAATAATTTGGGTAAAGATAAACTCGAGTAATTAATTATTTGACATGAGAAAATTAGAAGTTGACACATTTTTCTGACAAATATGACCTGAAGTAAATTGTCTTTGTGATAGTTTTGAAAAAAATTATAAAGTTCCCCAATAACATTAGAAATAGTACAGTATCAAGATAAATAGGCAAATGCCAATAACCAATGCCAGAATGATTGAATCCTTACGTTTTTTCGTCATAATGCGACGTAGAATGTGGCCCAGACGAGGAAATGTATCTGAAAAACATCATATTAAAAACCAACATAAAATAATTTGAAAGTTTCTTACTAGCCAAGGTTGACAGTTTGCTTTGAACTGACTCCAAGTTGGCTCGTTGATTCAACAAAGTCTCACGAGTCCGTCTGGCGACATCAATTTGCTCTTCAATGAGCACAGTGGAAGAATCAATGCTTTTCGATTCAACTTCCAAGGGAGAAGAGCCATTTGCTGTTTGCACGACGAACGAAGTTGAACTTGGGCACTTATGCAGCAGCTGACTTTGCACCAAAGCAGCATGGATGCTGTTCCGCATTTTATTGTACTCAGCCGTGTAGTCTCTAAAAGTCTCACGATGACGCTGAATGAGTCTCATTGCCGTGCTTTGCTTCTCCTGAAGGGTAGATGGACAGTGCGATTCCATGCGATCAATGGTATCCTTAAGAGAAGTGAGCAGCTTAAAAATTAAGCTGGTCTGCTCTTCGTAGCTGCCTTCAAATGCATCTTGAGCTGCGCTTATCAACGGCACAAACTCGCCCAACACCGAATGCTCAGACTTGCCCTTTAGCTGAGAGGATAACTGCCCGAATGTATTCAACTTTGAGTCAAGTTCGTTTTCCAGCTGTCGAGCAGATCGTCGAAGCACTTCCCAGTCGTTGAGAGAGCCAGACATCGTCTTGGAACAAGGTTTGTTGTTGGCCAACAGGTAAAGTCAAAAATCATTTAACTCAAATGTCAACAGAAGTGAAAACAAATCTAGCTGAATGAAACAGTAACGCCATCTCATGTTGAGATCTTTTTTAACGAAAATTGCAACTTTTGGTATCACTTTTATTCGTTTTATCCGATACACGACGAGTAAAAATGAAAGACAGAATGTTTTATAAATGGATCACAGTTGTTGAGCGAATGACTTGTGGATGAGCAATTAAAACTTACAGGTAGAGTATATTCTGAGGAGTGGCTGATTCTTTATAATCAGAAAAGAGGTACAATGAGACTAGATTTCTTTCAGTACTAAAATCAATGTCGTGAAACTGTAAGCACAAAAGTCGATCAGATACCACGCTTTGGAATCGAGCCCTGTACGAATAAAATAAAAGTTAGTTTCATAATGAAAACTTTTAAACTAATTAATCTTACCTGTCATCAAGAGCATGTGGACAGGAAGTGCCATCAGCATTCTGTTTGACCATGAGCTTGCACACCACAGCAAATGGTTTCGCTGCCGCAAATTGGTCGACCAGCTTGAATAGTTCAGCCGTTTTAATTAAGTAGTACCGTCCTGTGTCAATGCCGTAGACGATAATCTTCGATGTGCCCCTCTCCTCAGGTGTTCCATCGACAGTGGAGTGCAATGAAAACTTCACTTTGGTTCTCTTCAGCGACAAAGTCTTCCGCTTAACAACTTCAGGCGTTGGTGAGCTTACGTCTGCAGTTTGATCTTTACTGTTCAGTGCGTGACTTGATCCAGGTGCACGTTCAGTTCGAGGCGTGTCAGGGTCTTTTCCGACAATGTACCCTCGCAGGTAGAGACCAACTGCAGCGTCGTGGAAGACAATCATCTGGTTTTGATGTTGATTTTGCAGAAAAGTTTCCAGAAAGGTTGAATTGGAATTGCAGTTTATTAAGTTGTACTCTTTAGAAAGTTGGTTGTAGAACTCCCTGTCAATGTAAAAAGCCAAATCAGTATTTTGTGATAAAGTTAAAGAAAGAGAGTCATTACGTCATTTCCAGAACAAAAGTGCGGAATGGTGAGTCTAGCTTAGCGCCAGGAACAAAAAGGTCTCCGGCGTTAATTTGACTGATGAATCTTTTCACTGCCTCAGTGTCAAGCTTCCGTTCGCCAAATGGAAGTATTCCAATGAACTTGTTCACATCAAACACGGTAGTCACCCGAAATGGGTAGCACATGGTTGGATAGGGACAAGTTCCGATGCCTGGTGATGTCATATGAGAGGACTTTTTTAGCTTGACATGACGTGAGTGCTTCTGTACGATCCAATCTAAAAGGGAATAATGTGTCATTGATCGCCTGATCAGCAAAGCTGTTAAAGTGCACTCACTTGACAGTCTCGGATCATGATGCAGCTTGTGACAGCTTTCTAGGGGAAACTTGCACAGATCAAAACCACCACTCTCATCGAGATGGTGAAGCGACGAAGAGGAAAGATAAAAACTGTTGCATATTTCAATAAAGGACGGCTTGACAGTACATGAAACTGTGAAAATAAAAAAACCAAACGTTAAAAGAGACCAAGAAAGGGGACAGTTGGGTGTGTTTGCGAAGCAATCTGCCCGAATTCTAATGTGCAAAGTGACTAATAAAGTTAGTTTCTCACTCTGTGTTTGTTTAGAAAGCATTGATCAGATAGGTAAAGTACAGATAGATGAGCGCGAATGTGATAGTAAAGTAAAACAGCTCATTGGGTTTGCTCGCTGGCTTGGTCGGGCCGGCTGAATCAGTGACCAGTTCCAAAGTGGCCACCGGTGAGACCGTTGGTGAGACCGTGGTTAAATGACCGTTAGAATGCACTGCATCAAAATGAGGGCAAGCATATTTACGTGTCGCCATAGAGGAGGGCTCGCTGAGGAGGACATTCGGCTCGCCTTTGCACTCCGCCACCACCACTACGGCTGCTGCTGGGGCCGTAACTGCTTCTGTTGTCGAAGCAACTGCTGACGAGTTCTCCACCGGGTTACTGCTGCTTCCGTCGCATTCAACGGATATGACTGGCTGCTCTGCTGACTCTCTCTTCTTCTTTGACATGGTCTTTTTCAGTTTTTTCTTTTTAGTGGCAGGCACTTCGGCTGAGTTCTCGGCGGGAGCCTCGGCGACAGGCGATAACTGTGCTTCTGCTGCTGCCGCGGCTGCAGCAGGCGGCGGCGGCGGTGGTGTTGGTAATTGACTTGTTGGCTCGTCTGCCTGAACAGCTTCAGCAGCAGTACCTGCCTCCCCAGGTGGCTTTATAAGCTGTGAGGATGACTTTGAGGAGGTGCAGTAGTTCATTGATTCGTTGGAGCGAAGAAGCCAGTGGTCGTTTTCCGCGACATTGGCGGCAAAGTTCAGCTCAATCAGCTTGCGGTTGATGAAGATCTCCTCCTCCTGGTGGTTCTCCTCCTCCCCGGCGCCCGGTGAGCACCACAGTAGAACCTGTGCCAGCTCGGTGTCGGTCAGGTCCTCTCGCTGTATTTCAATGATGGAGGCGGTCAGTATCTGGTCGTAGGTGAGCGCCTCAAAGAGTCGACAGCACTCCTCTGACCAGATGGAGGAAGAAGCGTCTTCAGAGGAAACAGACGGGTGGTGAAGGTCAGTGCTCGTGGAGGGCTGTGGTCGAGGGTAGAGGTAGGCGAGAGAGGAGCGAATGGCAAAGGCGGGAATGGAGCCAAACTCCTCGCTCAGAGGACGCAGAGCCGACACTGAAATGGTGCTCGAGTGACCCGAGTCGACATCACGCACCACTACGTTCATCAGCTCCGATGGCCTGTCACCCTCCACTTCAGCCCCTTCTTCAGCCTCTCCTTCCTCCTCTGTGAAATGAAGCACCTGAACACGCCGCCACTCGTAGTCCTCGTCCATGTACCCGGCAAAGTGAGCGCCCACTGACACAGAGGCAGGAGGCGATGTAAAGTAGAGCTTCCATTCAGAGTCTTCTGCCACTTCGTCAAGGAAACCGTTCTCGTGGTGATGGTGCTGCTCCTCCTCCACCAGGTAATCGAGAGACTTGTAAAAGTTCTGAAACGACTCCAGAAAGTCCTCAAAAGCATTTGAGCCGCACTTTTCATCGTTGACTATTAGGTAAAAGTGAGATGGCGAGATGAAGTGCGAAACTTCGACCAGCAGATATCGGGTCAGCTCAAGAAGAGGCAGAGGAATTACGGTGACTAGATCAGGAAATCGGTGATAGCCTGAGTGGTCGCCGATGAGATCAAGCGAGCCTGAGCCGCCGTGACTAGAGTACCACTTGGACTGCTGAATCATCTCGCCAGTGGAGGCCGGCGCGTCCTTTATTGAGCTTCTCTTTCTCTTCGGAAGGTGCTCACTGAGAAGTTGACCGGAGAGAGAGGTTTCAGTTTCAATTTCAGTTAGCTCAGAGCCGGAACCAAAAGCGGCTTCTCTCGCGTCATCGTGAGACTTTGACATGTACAACTGAAAGTGATGCAGGTAATCGGTGGCCTGTGGGGAGGGTGTCTTTGAGACAAAGGATGATGATGAACGTTCCGCCTCAAGGTACCCGGAGAATGTGGCTTCACTGGAGAGGTGGGCAATGTCATTGGTCATTTCACCTCCCTGAGCAACCATCAGGGCGCACATCAGGTTGATCTCCTCGGTGAGGCTCTTCGGGGGGCGCTCTTTAGCGCTGCCGGCCTCCACTGAGCTGCTGCTGATGCAGTCGTAGAAGGTTCCGGCCGATGAACTCATCGAGTGCTGGTCAGTGGGACTGTGCATCTCCTGAGCAATAGCAATGGGGCCAGAGTGCTCTTGAATGTGATCCACCGAGGGTGACCGTTGCTTGGCCACCACTTCGGCGCTCTGTCGCTCCAGTCGATTTACGTAGGTATAGATGTCGTCGCGGGAGAGCGAGGCAGATTTGCGCTTCACCTCAACAGGCATATCAGAGCTCAGCGACGGAAGAGGCCTCCCGGTGCAGTGCTCCCCCTTGAAGTCGATTGGCGGAGTGATCAGCAGCAGTGTGTTGGAGTTGCCTGCAGAGCTAAGCTGTCCTGGCCGAGGGCACATTGTCGGCGAGGCGGAACTGCAGCCGCCGTGACTCACAGCCAGGTAACTAGAGCCGCTGTGGTGATTCCCCGAATGGTGGTCGTGGTCGTCGTCGTATGAAGCCACCGAGGTGGCCACTGAGTATCGCCGGGGAAAGGCGGGCATCGAGTTGACACTGCAAACAAATCGATGGATAGAATCAGACAACAATAACATCAAAGCACGACTACTTACACTGCGTAGTGTCTCGACATTGCCACTGGATCCATTCGAATGGAGTTGACGCCCACCATAATGGGCGACCCAGCCCCGTCAAAGGCGCCAGTACTGGAGGGCATGCCCAGGCACTCCAGGCGCCGCACCAGCTCTTCATTCTCATCTCTGGTCTCCCGCAGCTCTTTGCTGGTCATCTCCAGTTGACCCGTTCTGGCCTCCAGTTCATCCTTTAGTGACTGGTTTTCAATGCTGAGAAAGTTTCGCTCTTCATGCACCGAGCGATACGCCAGTGAGAACTCCATGCAGACGTCGGCGAATCGTCGCACCTCACCGATGAACATCTCATTGAACTGATTCATCATGGACTGGGCATCGGAGACAAAACGCTGAATGCACAGCTGCAGCTGTTCATCCTTCTCTGTTGGAATGGGTCGAGGGGAGGGAGATAGGGCCGACGGCTGCGGAGAGTGCGGCGCTGATGTGGGTGTCTTTCTCATGGCTGCTCGCTGTCGGGCAAACACTGTGCATCAGTTTTTTGTGTGTTGTGTGCGTGACTTACAGAGAGACAAAGTAACGGTATAACGGCTTACAGAGTATTACAGAGTAAGTGCTCACAAAACATCACAACAAGTGCTCAAAAGGGTGCAGCGTGAGAATGTCTTTGCGGTGAAATTGGAAATTGATTGAACCCGCCGCTGAACTTGAGCTCGAGCTAAATTGACGAGAAAATTGGCGAGAAAAGAGTTCGCATCGGATTGATTGAAGACGGCGGAAAATTTATGATGGCACTCACAGATTTGAGCGCGCCAATGGATGATGCGCCGCTGCGGCGGTGGCAAGAGAATAGGTGCTCTTGAGGAGGAAAAATTCCTGCTCTAGATGTGTGTGTTGCATAGCACTCGGCACACACAGCTCTGATGAGTCGCAATATTAAGAATCTGGTGGAAGTGGCGGCGGTGGCAGCTGCGGTGGTGACGCGCGATACGGCCTGAAAACCTTGATGCGTAAGAGAGGAGTCAGTGCAAGAAAAATCACAAGTAGTAGACACTTCTCTTGGTGCGCAATACCAGAATAGAAGTGCCGTCTTCTGTCTGACCAAACGGCTGCAGCGGCTGCATTTTCTCTTTTTATTCCTCATTTCTCCTTTACATTGCCACTTTTTCAAATATGCTTGACTGTGTTGTCTTTTTAGGTTGAGGTTGCGTGTGTGAAGCAGTCAGTCATTTAGAAAGTGATGACGCCAAAAATACATGTTTCCCTTCAAATTCGAGAATAGATACAAAAGCACGGGAGAGAGTGTCTGATGAAAGACCGGCAAGGATGCAAGTAAGATAGTGAAAATTAGTATGTACTTTTACTTTTTAATTAATCACTAATTGAATAAACATTAAAATAATTTTGCATGACAATGACTGTTTTATACAGCCATTTTAACAAATGACACATGTCAAAGTTCACAATTTCAAGGCTGAAAAACATTGACTACTGATTTTTAATACAGAGTATAAACGCAAAAAAGAGTACAATATAATCTGTTCAGTACGTACATATTTTTTTTGGTAAAGTCTATGTGCAATAAAACATGTCAGATAAACACTTTTATACAACTACAAAAATTGAAGAGTAACCATTTTGTCAATGACACATGTTCACGTTTCTTGGGATACAACAGACAATGCCACCATTACTAATGAACAATATAGATTAACTTGTCATTTTAATCCATTCATTTTAAATTTGGGTTGATTTGATGTCGTGATACACTACGAACCAGTAAGAAGGATCTAATTTTTAAGAAAAAAGCACGAAACCGAAAAGTGCTTGCCGAAAAACTTTAAAAAAATGCAAATACGTTGTTTGTGGCGGGACTGAATAGACTTTTTTGTTGCGTAAAACTTTTTGTTGTCACGAGCGTGATGACAATGCTTGGTGGCCAGACTTCACTTCATTAGCTGATCATTTCGGTAGTTATCTCCGGCTCTGGTCGACGCCTGGTCCTCTCCCAGCCTTTGGCAACCCTCGTCGCATCGGTGCTTCTCCACTTCACAGTGCCTGGACGCCCCTCAGGTGGCCGCTCTAGGCCGCTTCCCATTTCATCTCTCCAAAAGTGTCGACTCATTCTACGTCACTTGCTGTGTTCAGCGGTAAGTTCGGCTCAGTGGATGATGATGCTGATGACATTTGTCTCGCTGAGCATCACTTTAATTACATCGTGCGTTGTTGTTGCGTCTTTGCCTTTAGGTCTCGCGTACATTTGCACCACTGGTGCTGGGGGAGTGCACCGTAGACAAACACCTCCCCACGAGTAATCTGAGCTACCAGAAAGACTTACATAGTCTCTGCCATCATGAAGATCGACCGGGTAAAGTTGAAACGCCAGTACTTGGGCACTGAGGATGCTGTTGTGGTAAGTGATTAGTGCATTAGTGCATCAGTTGTCATTTTTAACTTGTTTTTATCTTTAATCCGCCCAGCCTCCTGACATCAAGGATTTGATTACAAAACTCAAGAATGCCATGGATGCAGACCAAGCGCGAACCATCATCAATGAAATTAAAACGTGGCCTTACAAAAAAGTAATAATAACTTTGGGGATAAAGTTTTTTAGCTCACCACCTTTTTCCTCTTCTCAGTCTGACCTGTATCACTGGGTCGATATTTTGGATGCCTTTGATATAGTTCTTGAAGAATGCGCAAAGAAAGTTGGCAACAACCAGTGGCAACTTTACGTTGATCAAGATCAGAATGTAAAGGCAAGTTTTTCCCCTTTTCTTTCAACAAACAAATAACTAACAAAGTAATCTTAACAAAATAGAAAAGGCTGCTTCTCATCGATGTTCTTGAGTTTACCACCCTCTTGGTGAAACACTGCTTCTCTTCGCACGTTTACAGCTCGTTTGAGCATCTCACTGCTCTAATGAACTCTACCGATCTCACTGTTGTTATCACTGTGCTCGAGCTTCTTTTTGCTCTTGCGAAACGTGGCACCCAATATCTGCCACTGAACCAACAAGATAAGAAGCCTCTTCAACTTCGTAATCGAATCAATTTCCTAGCTGAAGACTGGGGTGGAAAGGATAATGGTGTGTCGTTCAAACAGTGTATTCAAGATTTGGACAGCTATCCTTCATCGGCTACCACGGTGCACCTCGAGTTCTATACATCAGCTGAAAAATCCGAAAAGAAAGTTATGCACATCGAAAACGTCCATCTCTTGAAGAAGCCACTTGCTCAGATGATGAATGATCTCGTGCTTGAGTACAAGGTGCCAGCTGAGAGCCAACAACAGCTGTTCAATCGTCTTCGCCTGTCATCTAAATTTGCAGACTTGCATCAACGACAGCTGTGTGTTCAGGCTCGCCTCAGCGCCCTTGCAATTAGCGGTAAGAATACTGAGAATCATGTACTTCAGCATTGTCATATTAAATCTATACTTTTTCAGCACTTATTGAGGGCAACTTTCACGTTAGTCCATCACTAATCGAAGAAACTGCCGAGATTCTTACTCTTGACGATCTTTATAATCTCAAGTCAGTTGCGTTGAAAGCTCTGCGATCTTTCATCAACTACGAGCGAAACACCAAACTAAGAGTGATCATAGAGTCAACTGGCGCCAACTCCTACCACGGCCTCATTCCCAAGTTGACTCGTGCCGTCATCAACTCGATGATCGATCCGTCGCCAGTCAAGCAGTACCCAATGAGCTTTACATCTTCTCTATTTAACTTCGTGTATCACATGGGCTTTTATGAGTCAGGTAAGTGTCAACTCTCATTTTGCAAAAGCTGTTTATATTTTCAACTAACATGTTCACCCTACAGGTCGTCAGGCACTTCAGCAGTGTGGTATTATTGAGCGATTTCTCAAGTTCCTTCAGCACAATGACGACACTCTTGACAACTTGAATTTAGTGGCTCGAGCTGTTCGCATCATCGAATCGATAACGGCTCGCGACATAGCCATACTTCAAAGTCACAATGGACTTAATGTGATTCAACAGCGATTTCAGCGAGAGGTGGAGATTTGCCAAAAGGTGTTTCTACAGGAAATAGCTGCTCAACCTTCAACAGAAAGTCAATCTGCGAGTGATAGAGCGAATCTCGTCGAAGAAGTTGCCATGCAGACTGAAGATGTCGGTCCTTCCGATGTCTCAAAGAAGCTTGATAATCTTCCATTACCGGTTACTACCCAGCCGGCAAACAAATGCCACCCATTACGTTCTACCGTCATTAGAGGCCTCCTTTCATTTCTTCGCAAAGCAACGCAATATCCATCTCTTAGCGAAACAATTCGCCCGATGATGCAGTCCACAGAATTCATTCAAGCTGTAAAGCATCTGATAAGTAATCCTGATGGCAGTTATTACGATAGCACGGTGTTCGCCTACGCTATCGACATGGTTTCACTTTACGTTCACCATGAACCATCGTTGCTCTCAACTTTGCAAGAAAATGGCCTCGCTGGTGTAATGCTAAAGTCTCTCTTTGATCCTGATCGAAAGTTGCCGGTTAACAAAGATTTCTCAAACGCAATGTCAAACGTTCTCACCGCTTTATGCTTGAATTCGCGTGGCTTGGCCGAGTTTGTGGAAGCGAAGCCTTTTGAAAAGATATTGGCCATCTTTACCAAGCCTGAGTATATGTCCAATCTTCAGATTAATGGAAATATGACTGCGTCTTTTGATAACACCGCTCAACTTGGCAAAGCTTGTAAGTGTACCGCGCCAGTGTCCCCCTAAACTCGGTTTAATCGTGATATTTATTTGCACACACAGGTGATCAACTAATTCGACATCAGCCATCTCTTCGAGTTCCTGGTCTGAATGCGATTGTTCGAGCTTTGGAGCAGCTGACAAAGTTTGGCAATGCAAACCAGTATGTTATAGTGAAAGAGTCCTTTATCAGAAGTGGTCACACTCTCAGCTTTCGACCAACTGATGTGAAGAAAAATTCAAGAGATACCCGAGAGCCAGTTCCTCTTCTCGACTACATCACCAACATTGTATGCTTCAGCTTTTTAAAAGTCTAAAACAAATTTAATATAACGCAACATATTTTCTTTCAGATGCGATTTCTGCAAAGCATCCTCAACACAAGCAACCAACATGCGACTGAGTTTATGCGCCAGCAAGGTTTCTCAGCTCTTTTGGCGCTTCTCACATTGCCGAATCTCCCAGCTGATTTCGGCAATTCAGCCGCATGTTATTACATGTCAACTGTCATGTGGTGGCTGTTCAAGTGCACCTTAGACAAGAACATTTTTGTTGGTGTGCTTCAGAAGCTTAAATCGATTATGACTGATCGTCTTGATCCCGTTGTTGTTGCTCGGTTCTCTGATTCGTGCAAGAACATGGGACCTTCGGTGATGTTGAATGATCTGATTCAAAATGCCCAACCAAAGGAAAAGTGGCAGGAAACTGAGCTTTGGCGTGCTATTTCCATGATGTACACTCACATCTCGGTCCTTCTTCAAGTTTGCCGCCCCGACCATTCATCCGATCAGCTGCGAAACTTGGCGCTAGAACAGTGGGCAACAAAACTCGGTCAAGAACTTATTAATGCCCTGTCGCGAATTCATGTTATGCTTCACTGGGAGACGGTGAACATGACTGCATGTGTGGAGGAAGGCGCCCTGAATGACCACCTGAGTGAACACTTTCCTAAGCTCAAGGATCAGTTTGATGCTCTGGTGGAGATTATCGACAAGGCCGTAACCGTGCCAGCCAATTTGCTAGCCGCTATGTCTGAATCCATTGATTCGCCAATGGACGTCGATCAACCAATTGACCAGGCGGCTTCACAGGAATCCGCTTCAACATCTGCCACAACTACACAGGCAAATCCGGCTACTGTTGCACTGATGAAGAAGCTGGTTGATCCCATCGTCGCTACTTCTCGCAACATCTCCAAATCAATTGAAGACCTATTTGCACTTTTGCTAAAGGTAAAACGAGTTTTAAAAGTTTTTTATTGTAATTATTTTACTTTTATTCATTGAACAGCTGTGTGTTGGCAACTCTACTTCTGCTTTTCATCGTCGAGCTGGTTTTGTCAATCAACTTGGTGTTCCAACGCCGAACGCCCGTTCTTTGGCGAAAAATCTAAACTCGCTTCCTAATACCAGCATGAGGACCATTTTGGATAGAGCGGTTCCATCGAACTTCCGGTGAGTAACTTCAAGTATTTTAGTAATGTTATAACTAATCGCTTTTATTTGATAGTTTTCTCTTTTACGAGCCGTTCATTACCCACTCAATCTCCATCTTGTTTGATAATCGCAACAATCCCTATCAACTGGTGCTGCAAAACTTTGTCTTTTCTGGTGCTCAGGATGCATTCTTTGATTTATTTGACCGCGAAGTCAAAACTGTCATTGACTGTTATTCTCTGTCTGGAATCAAGTATGTGCCCAAAGGTTTTGAACATTTTCTCGATGTATGGCTGTCTCTGGCAGAGCGATTATCAAATTCTGAGCGCATTCTTGAGACCCCACATTCGATCCCTTCGAAGAAGACTGATGCCATTTTGGCCACTTCTACCTACGTAGGCTTTGAGCCCATGGAGTACATTATTCGAACTCATCGACAGTTGTACGCACCCATTCTCACCCTGTGGAATGCTGGCGAATTGTTATCCACCTTCAAAACGAAGCAAATTCGTAGCAGTGTACTGCTTCTGATTTCTGAACTTTTTCGAGCTTCTTCATTGATTGATAAATACATTTCCAAGCGTAAAGAGGTGAAAACTCCCACCACAGCTTCGACCACTGCTGCTGCTCAAGCACAGGTAAGCTGATTGATCTAGTGTAATATACCTTTCTCAAAACCTCATACATTTCTTTTATCACAGCCACAAAACCCAGGTTCTTTCGCTCTTTTTGCCGAAGCACTTGGCTTGCCATCGCTTTCTACTCAGGCGGCAACTGCATCAGTGGTTCTACCTACCCCTCCTTCAGCACCAGTCCCGATAATATCCACTTCCGCCCCTTCCACTTCCACTCCAACTAGGCAGCCTCAAAATGCAGAACACACAGCAATGCTGAACATGCTGGTTGAGATGGGTTTTGAGCGTAGCGCTGCTGCTGATGCTTTTATCCACTGTGGGTACGACATTACAGCTGCCGCTGATTGGCTTATTATGCACCAAAATGCATCTAATCCTGGTTCTCTCAGCGCATCAACGGTAAGTCTCATTCGCACTGGTTTGTGTTTTGTAACTACAATTTTACTAATTTTGCATATTTAGAATGAAATTGCAATGTCTGACGAAGATCAGGTTGCTCGTGCCATTGCCATGTCTCTTGAACAGGACGAGCAGCCCGAGAGTGCAGAGCAACCTGCAGCCGTCAGTGCGGATACTGCAACTGTCACCGCTGCACCTGCTTCAACTAGTGCTCCTTCTGCAACAACTAGTGCCCCAGTCCCGACAACAAGCACCGTCGTTCCAAAGGCCGCCGTTCCTGCGCCCAAAGCACCAAAACCTGCACCGCTTCTTGAAAATGAGACACCACTGGAGAAAGAAAAGTTTGATCAACTTCTGGTAGCCCTTCTTCCCGGTCTAATCAGCCTGCTCGCCGGAGAGCCCATTGAACAGGATTTGTTCAAGTGCGCTGAACTCCTTAATGTCATTGTCAAGGCTGGTTACACTGCCGTGTACGATGACGTTGCCAGTCATGTGCTCAGCAAGATTCGTTCAGTTGGCGATATGATTCTCTCTCAGGTATGTGCAATACATGTGTTTTTGTGTCTGTACTTTTAGCTTTTAACTTTTTTCTTTTTTAGCCGGTATTCAACACTGAAAAGGAGCATCTCAAGTCAATACTTTCTCCTAAGCCGGAAGCATCTGGACTTGCTACTTGCATCCACTTTTTGCTTTTGATTTGTAATGAATCAAAAGGCTCCTGTATGAAAAAGTGCACCGAGTTTTCAATCTTCACCTTAGCCGTTGACCTAATTGGAAAGGCGGCACACGTTCTATCACTTGCTTCCGAGCTAGAGAAGGACGTTGAAATACCCGATTGGCTTTGTCCTATTACCGTTTTGTTGGACCTTTACGAAAAGTTTGGCACTGGATTTAAATTGAGAAATGAACTGATATCTCGACCAACTGGACGGGTCTGGAAGACTTTTCAAGTAATATAACATTTTTGAATTTTAACATTTGTTTGTATTTAACAATCTTTTTCCCCATAGGAGAGATCAGTTCGCTGGAGCCCATTCGATCATGCGAATAATCGCCTGATTGACGACGCCTATTGTGCTGGTGAAACATCAACAAGAATTTCTGTCGATGCTAATCGAAAGTACACAATTCGTTTTGACACCATGACGCAGCACGGCGAGGCAACTGGCAGCAAAAGACCAATCATGTACGTTTTCAAGGAAGTGAAGGAATCGAAAAAATCCAAAGCTAAGGCGGCTGCAGCTGACTCTAAGAATGCAGATGCTGTTAAGGAGCCCAGCAAACCAACAGAGGAGATTGTAGTACCATCTTTTGTCACATACACCAACAAAGATTTCCTCCGCGCAGTGGTCGCTCTGATCAAGTTGCCCAAGTTGGATTCTGCCTTTCTCAATGCAATCGTTCGCATTATCCTTCGCATCACAATGACAAACCACTCGGCTGCCTGTGACTTTGCAGAACAGGGTGGCATAGGCGCTTTGTTGAAGCTCTCCAACAAGGTGAACTTTCCTGGATCATCCACAAGTACGCTCTTCATCATCCGCCATGTCTTTGAGGACTGCTCTCAGCTAGAGAACGCAATGGAGCGAGAAGTTCGTCGCCTTGCTACTCTGTCTAGCCCCACGCCCAGTGTTAATCAGGAGATGCACAATATTTTGCGAAACTTTATGCCTTTGGCAGCTCGAAACGCTCTCATTTTCAAGGATGTCGTCAAACGTACGCTAAAAGTGAATATTAGCAACAAATCTCAAACGTAAGTATTGCTATTTTGTTTTGCTGAATTTTAGCTATAAACGCTTACAATTTATTTCTGCAGTAATTCACACGAAGATCGTTCACCGACATATTTAGAAGTCGTCAAAGAGCCCACTGGTGGCTCTACTAACGTTGAATTACATGACACTGCCAAGGATGTCATAACCGAGTTGTTGTGTATTCTCCCTCTAAGACTGATGGATGAGCAGAAGAGAGATTCTGAGAAGAAGGGCAAAAAGAAAGATGACGATTCGCCACTGTTTAACACCAAAACGATTCTTTCTTTCCTCGCCGAACTTATCAAATCTTACCCTTCTGTTGCTAAAGTCTTTTGCGATCACGTGTATTCAAGAGGTAATGTTTTTCGGTTAACTTTTTATTAACTCAATTTTAATTCGATTTTTTAAGGTTTTTGCGACCTGATTACCGAAGACTTATCCGCTTTGTCGTTTATCATTGACCACATGCTGAGCGTCACTGATGCCACAACACCGACATATTCGCGAATGATATTTTCTGCTCTTATTTCAACGCTTCCTTCATCACCCAACCTGTCGGCGATTCATCAGGTGATAGTCAACGAGCTAAAGAGTGCGCTTTATCGGGCTGTTCACAATGACTCCAGCACCGTTTATAACACCAGCAAGCATTCCCGAATTGAAACAGTTGTGACCCTGGTGCTGCTGATAATTGAATCATGCCCCCGAGGTGTCACCGATCAAACGCAACCACTCGCACGAGCTCGTCTGCAATTCAACTCGAATCAACTTTCGATCATTCGGATGATGGTCAAGTGCGGATTTGTTAATGATATGGCGCACAGTATCCAAACACTAGATCTGAGCTCTCCGAAGATGGCCAAAGTTGTGGAAGCTCTCACCAGAACGCTGGAAATTATTTCCGAAACCATGACCTATTTGCCAAAAAGTCGAAACACCTCTTCTGCGGGCACTGTCTCCAACACTTCAACTCGTCCTTCGTCAAACACGCAGGCTCTAGAGCTGAATAGTCAGTCCAACTCCACCGGTGAGACAGCGCCTCAGCAGGAGGGCAATCACCAGGCAGCACTGATTGCTAATGAGAACCAAATTCATGCAATGGAGGAAGATGATGATCACATGATGGCAATAGCGGCACTTTCTCCCAGGCGACAAATGGGCAGAGAGCGAAATAGCGATGAAGAGTTTATTCGCGCACTGAATAGAATTCGAAGAAATGAACTCGCCGAAGATATGGACGCATCAGTTGAGGAGCCAGATGATGATGACGACGACGATGACGACGATGAGGAACTGTCGGAGGCAGCTTCACTTCTCGAGGAGATTAATCGTCACAATGAGGCTCTTGAAAACCAGGACGAAGAGGATGATGGAGTTGGCGATGAAGAAGATGATGATCGTCAGATTAATCCTCAATTCGATGGCGTTGATGAAGTGGAGGACGAAGAGGAGGAGGAAGGCGACGAAGAGGATGATGGCGAGGAGTTTGAGGATGACGATGAAGAGGATTTTGACGCCATTCCAATGCCCCCGCCCGATCTTCTCGAAGACTTTTCCGATTTGCAGTTTACCCGTGACTTTTCCTACAATCTGCAGCCTTTGGGCCGAGGAGATCCATATGCTGCTCATCAGCTCATTCGTCTTTCAGCTCCCCTGCCTGATGCCCTGACACCTCATCCAATGCTGACTCCGAGTCAGAATACAGCCCAAGCGGTAAGTGAAAAAGTAGAGACTGCCTCTTAATTGCTAAGACTGCTAAATAATTATTGTTGTTTTGAATTAGCAGGTTCCACGACCGGCAACTCATCCAGACATGGCCACTGCCCGGTTTGATGAATTGTGGATGCAGCCCCGTCAAAGAAGGAATGCTGGCTTCTTCCGAATTGGGGATGGCGGCACTTATCGCTTTTCCATTCCACGCGATCGCTCATCATTTGCGAACATTCAAGATGAGATCAGCAATATTCTCCACCGAATTCGCGGACCGAATGTAGCCATTTCGCCGCAAGTAATCAACCAGTTTACCAATCAAATATCCAACATTATTCAGGGTAATTTTAACCAAAATCAGGATATCATTACCCCAGCTTCTCCTTTTGGCTCACTCTATGTCACCACTTCTCTAGCAAACCCTTCACCCACGAATCCTAGCTATGGCGCTTCACCAACATCAAACATTGCTCGTTGGGACGAAGAGTGTCGTCTAGTGATGGGAGAATTCGTGTTTGATTCTCTGATGAGCGTTCATGAAGAGTTGGTCAATCACCTCGAAAAATGTAAACTGGCTGACATTGAGGCTAGAAAGGAGGAACAAGAAGCGAAATTGGCCAAGCAAAAGGAAGCCCTGAAAGCTGAAGAATCTGCAGCTGCTGCTGCTTTAAAAGATGCTCGTAAAGAGGAAGAGGCTGCGCTGATGTCACTCACAGCTCCTGACCCTCAGCCTGCGCCACAGTCTGGCGAAGATAATCTCATCTCGGTGGACGAGCCAATGGCTGAAGTTGGATCGCTACAGATTGAGCCGGAGCCAGCTTCTTCTATTTCACAAGTTTCCGAAAATAGCGAACAGTTGCCGCCATCGCTAAGCGCGTCTACTAGTGAAAATGTAGACCAGCCCATGAGCGAACCGACACCCCCTCATGCTCCAGTGGAATCGCCTATTGTCATTCAGACTACTGCAACTACAACTGGAAGTGGTGCTCAGACGCCCACATCATCAGCCAATGTCATCAGTGAGAGCGTCGTCATGGAAGAAGAGGCACCCCCTGCTGCTGCCGAAGGCTCTAGTGTCGCCCCAGCAGGGAATGAGGAGGAACCCATTGCTGCAACTTCTTCCGCAGCAACTGCAAGCGCATCAACTGCCACACCTGAGCTTACACCGGAACTTCAGGCCATCCTCGGAGACATTCAAATTCCCGAAGGCATTGATCCTAGCTACCTGGCTGCCCTGCCCGAGGACATGCGCCAGGAGGTGATCTCTGAACAGCTTCGCATTCAACGACTTGCCCGACAGCAAGCGGCGGCGGCTGCTGCTTCAGCTGCAGGCAGCAGCTCTCAACAGCCGAGCGATGCCTTTGCTTCAGCTGCTGCGACGGCTGCATCTTCCTCGGCAACGAATGAAATTAGCCCTGAGTTTTTGGCCGCCCTCCCTCCGGACATTCGCCAGGAGGTGCTGGCGCAGCAACGAGCCGAACAGATGGGAGTGCCGAATCCGCACGCTCCCGTCGACCCGAACAGCTTCCTGCAGACGCTTCCACCTTCTCTGAGAAGGCAAGTTCTGGCTGACATGGACGACTCTCAGGTGCAACTGCTTACCGGTGAGCTTGCCCAGGAGGCGCGAGTGCTTCGGCGCGAGCATGTTATTCGACGTGAGCACGCCTTCATGGAGGAGTACATGGTTGATCTGGGGCGTGGAACGGTGCGAAATGCCGCTGGAAATAACGCTCTTGGAATCAATCGACTGGCCCAAAATATTCGTGTGGGTGGGCTACTGCCGCCCCTTCCGATGATACTGCGAAGAGGTTTTCGGACCTTTCCCACTGGACAAAATGCTAATGTGGCCACTCGTCAGCCTCATCATCATCACCACCACCAGCAAATTCCGTACGGAAATAGTGTGGACAACCTGAATGCCGCGTACTTGACCACCTATGCCACTGCACGAACACCCATCAAGGGCAAACATCTGCTCGATCACGACTCACTCAGCTCGTTGATGTTGTTGTTTTTCGTTTCCGACGCTTCAACGTCCATCGCCCGACTTCATCGTTTGGTTCGTAATGTCTGCTACCACCTTCCAACCAGGCAGTGGGTCATTTCCTCGTTGTTGGAAATTTTGGAGCGCGCAAAGTTATCTGCCACTGAACAAAAGTTCTACTCGACCTCCGATGAAACCTTTGCCAAGTATGTCAAAACTTGTGTTTGGATTTGTAACTTGCTTTCTCTAACAGTTGCTCTTTCTTTCTTGAAACAGGTATGGCATTCAAAACCGACAGGTTTCCTGGCTGTCGTTGGTATTTGAGTCTGCTTTCAGCGTAAAGATGAACGTCTTCCAGCTTGACCCATCTAAAGCGTCTACCAGAGAGTGCTACAGCGCAGTGGTGCACATTCATCCTCAGGCGGTGCCTTTTGTGTGTCGCAAAGTTCTGGACATTCTCATCTACATTGCAAAGTCTTTCCCGGACGACTTTATCACTGTTCCCAGCAGGGAGTCTTTGGCTGTTCCTGCCAACACCACAACTACTCCAGAATCTGAGCCCGCTGCTGCATCCACTCCGACCAGTGGTTCATCAACGAAGAAGCACTCTCTTGTCTGCCACCAGAAAAGCATCTTTGATGTGCTCATGTCGCAGGAAAGCATTCATGGCTCCAAGAGGAGTAAAGGACTTAAGCATTTCGGTGAGTCTTTTCGAGCAAATACAAATAAGTGTGCACCCTTTATTAACACAGTACATTTTTAATAGGATCAAATGCATCATTGAACAACACTGAGTCGTCTGACTCTTCATCCTCCAAAGGAGCAGTAATCGTTTCTGAATCTCCCTTTTCGCAACTGCTCAATCTTCTCTCGCAGCCTTTCATTTCTAAATCTTACACTCTTAGTGATCGGTTGATTCGTCTCTTATCGTATGCTATGACCAACACCAACAGCGGCTACAATGATCCTACCGGCACCCAGGAGGCGGCCATCAATGAAAATGTACTACCGCCAACCAGTGCAAAGTATCTGGCGCTGGAGAAGGCCCTTGAAAATGAGAATCTCCTTCAGCTGTTAGTCTCTTTTCTCACCTCTTCTACGTGCACTGATGATGGCCTGTCTGATGCTCACTCGCTGATAATCAAGCTGTCTACTATATTCCCAAAGTGCCGTGAGGTATTCCACCGAAAGCTAATTGAGGCAGCTCAGGAGATTGGCAACGCCGTCTATCAGGACATTGAATGCCTTGTAACGGAACTAAAGAAAACTGTTTCAAGTTCATCGAAAAAGTCGGAGCCTCTTGATCTCTCTATGCCTGGCACTTCAAGTGACCGCTACAGTGAAACTCGCGCCCTTATAATTTCGAGCAATCGAAACACGAAGAAACCTGGAAAGGAAATTCATCTTCCTGCCATGTCTACTTTGAGCTTAAAGTCATCAAGTCAGTACATTTTATTGCGCATTTTGGACATTGTTGTGGAACTGCGAGAGTTGACTCTGCTGGAAAAGTTGGAGAAAGAAAAGGACCGGCTGGCCAAAGCCATAAACACAGCAGGAAGTGCTGTTGCTGCAGCAGAAGTTGTGCCCGAAGCAGAGCCTCTCCAGGAGCTCTACGCCGCAAGCAACAGTCGCTCTATGGCTATCAAGCAGATTGACATGGACTTGGCGATTCAGATCACTGCCAACGATGTAAAGCTTAGTGACGAGTTGTCTCAACTTGAAAAGCTGTGGAATAAGCTAAGCGAGTGCCTCGATTTGCTGCAAGAGACCTCGGATGAGAAGGCCGTTTTGGTTCTTGAGCCAGCGGTAGAGGCTTTCTTCCAAGTTCACGCCACTGAAGTTGCTCTGAACAAATCTACCCTGAACGCTAATCGAGCCAACCAGGATGCTGAACAAATTGATTCAGCAAATGATACTCTGGATTCATCCAGCTCGCAATCGGTAAGAAAGGGAAAATCAATCTAAATTACTTTTATTAATTGTGGATTTTTTAGAATTCGGTGCCTTTGGAAGATACGGACAAGTTTTTGGCTTTTGCCGAACGCCACCGAGTTGTGATTAACCAAATTCTTCTGCAGTCCAATGTTCACCTCACTGATGGTACTTTTGGATTTTTGATTGATCATGCCAAAATACTTGATTTCGATGTCAAGCGGCGGTACTTTCGCGAAGAGCTAAAGCGACTTGATCAAGGTGTTCTCCGAAGGGGCCTCTCATTGCCTGTCAATCGCGCCAATGTGTTTGAGGACTCATTTAGAGCTCTTGACCGCTTATCTGCCGAAGAGTGGAAAGGACTTTTCCGGATCAGTTTTGAAGGAGAAGAAGGTATGCACAGTTTGACGTTTAAGGCTATCAACTCTTTACTTATAATTTATCTAATTTAACAGGTCAAGATGCTGGTGGCTTACTGCGCGAATGGTACACCATCATCGCCCGAGAAATCTTCAACCCCAACTATGCTCTATTCACTCACTCACCCGGCGATGGAGTCACCTACATGATCAACCAGTCTTCCTACTACAATTCGAACCATCTAAACTACTTCCGCTTTGTCGGTAGACTGATCGGAAAGGCAATCTACGAGAACCAACTTCTCGACTGCTACTTTACTCGATCTTTCTACAAGCACATGCTCGGAAAGCCAGTCAGCTACACTGACATGGAGGCCGAAGACAATGCTTTCTACCAAGGACTGGTCTTCTTGCTCGAGCACAATGTCAATGAAATTGGCTCCGATCTAACCTTTTCAATTGAAATCCAAGAATTTGGCGCCAATTCAGTGATTGACCTAAAACCTAACGGACGGAATATTCCCGTTACTGAGGAAAACAAGATCGAGTATGTTCGGCTGGTGTGCCAAGAGAAGATGACTGGTTCAATTAAGCAGCAGCTTAAAAGCTACCTGCAAGGACTGCACGAAATCGTTCCCAAACGGCTGATATCAATTTTCGACGAACACGAACTCGAATTGCTCATCTCTGGTTTGCCAGACATTGACATCGATGACCTGCAGGCTAACACCGAGTACCACAAGTACGCTGCGGATTCTTTGCAGATTCAGTGGTTCTGGCGAGCTTGTCGTACATTTGACCAAATTGACCGTGCAAAGGTAAGACTGTTGTTTCTTGATTCTCTGTAGTCAAACACTAACAATTTGTAAATACTTCTAGCTGCTGCTTTTTGTCACTGGATCGAGCAAAATACCACTTCAAGGCTTTGCTGCTCTAGGCGGAGGAAACGATGGTCTCAAATTCAAGATTTATCGTGATGACCGATCTACCGATAGGTTGCCATGTGCCCACACTTGGTACGTATTTTAATTGTTTATTTCTAACATACTGATTTAATAATGACAAATTAATTTTTATAGCTTCAACCAACTTGATCTTCCTGCGTATGAAACCTATGATAAACTGCGCTTAATGCTTCTCAAAGCCATTCACGAATGTTCAGAAGGATTTGGCTTTGCCTAAGAAAGAAGAAGATGGCTGCACCCACTATGTGTAAAACATTATTTTAATTTATCTGTAAAAATTGAGTTTTGTTATCTAACTCTGTACAATAATATCCACATGCCCAGCAAGGTGTTTTCAAAGTGTTTTGGAGTGTATATGCTTTTAACCAGTTTTGAAATCATTTGTTTCATATTTCACTGTTTTATGAAAAATTTTTATTAATTGTCCACTTGTCAAATCACATGTGATATATACTTTTGTTTTTCATAAACGCTATCACACTACACTGTATAAAAGTGAAGCAAAATTATTACTTGAATTTTTAATGAGCTTGTCTTTTTATTACTGAAATTCCTGCGTCAGAATTACATTCTCTTTTGAGCATTGCAACATGTTGGACATGGCGTAATTTTAGGTGCACATGCCAAGCAAAATCTCCAATGATTGCATTTGGAAAACTGCAAGCTATGCGGCTCGGTTTGACAGAGCTGACAGAGTACCCCGCCATTGCTTGCCAGAGTAACAAAACTCTTGTTAATTTGCCAGTTGATGACAAAATATTCATATGTTTTCTTTTGTTCTCTCACAAATCAAACCCAAACGGAATAGCAAAAATAAAATTATAACTAAAAGTAAAGGTTACCGTTTTATAAACAAAATAAATGTTTTTAGTTATTTTCTTACAAATGAATTGAGCAGATATTTGAACTGATAAGATTCGATGAACGTGAGTCACACTGCTGCTGCGCCACTGCGGTGATAGGAGAAATCACTTTATCGATGATCTCTGCATCAGTCGAGATTGTAAAACAGTTTTCCCTCGTAGTTTTTATCATCCTTCACTCTTGAAGTTTTCATCTAGCTTTGTGCACCATTTTACTTTTATTTGCGCTTTTATGGTACTTCAAAAACATGAAGAGATCTCTCGGATTGGTGAGTGCTTCAACCACCACTGAATTTGTTGTAAATGCTAACCTTTGTTTTGTCATTCTTTTACAGAG